CAAATCTAAGGAGAACATGCAAACTCCATGCAGATAGCACCCCACATCCAGAATTGAACCCAGGGCCCAGGTGCAACTAACCACTACAACACAGTTCTGCCCCTTATGTGAAACACTTAAAAAAATAATAGTAAATGTATCATAGCCTTTTTAGTACTTCTACTGTGATTTTAAAGTATTTTTGCTAGAATCTCCTTTGGTTTTAAAATATCTTGCTTGTGTTTTATTACATAGCAAATCAGTTTACGTAACTATTTGTTTCCTTCTTTATGTAAAATGAACTATTAATATAAATGTGAAGAGAATTCTGGGAAATTTTCACAAAGGAGCAGCTTCTAAAATAAATATTCACATAGTGAATCTCAAATCTCTTAATTCTATTGATTCATTTCCATTCAAAAAGATTACCGGACATTCGATACACTTCAGAATTTCAATGCCAAAGCAGCAATTTGATATTAGAATTAGTGAATATCACTGTTTGGTATGGATGGAGGAAATATTTTGAAATGAGAGTAGGGAAAAGTTCAGGCATACACAAACATCCACAACCTTTTTAAGTCACACTGGAAAGGTAGGCTCAGACCCTTGCTGTTATTCGACAAATAACTACACAGAGCAGGTTAAAGACAGTAAAGACACTTAATTTTACCTGATTCAGCCTTCTGTGGTATCTTAGCTTCATCTCTGGAACAAGCTCTTCCAGCCTTTCCATCTAAAAGAGTCCCATCAGATGAAAATTGAGTTTTCAAGGAAAGTCCAGGAGGTACTGTAAGACCCTAGTCTTGCCCACATCTATCCATCCTCACACATGGAGACAAGTCCCGGCAACCAGGATCACTATCTCTTAGCCAGGAGACTTCAGCCCATAAAGGAAACTAATTCAATTTACGCCTCTGCTCCACCTTAATTAGGGTTTATCTAAACCACAACTTTAGAAATGTTATGTTCTACGTCATAAAATCAGCAGCAAGAAATATACATCTTCCTTACTTATGACTGGAGTTTACACGGGGAATAAAGCACAAAAATAGAAGAGTTCAGTTAAGATGCACAAATCGTGGACAAAAGAATGGAAACATCAAAATAAAGTCACTAAACAGGATGTTGGACCACCACATGCTGTACATACAACACGACATACAATGTTTCTGCATGATTTAATCATCATTAAAAAGATATAGGCAGACACGCTGGTATAGTACTCATCAGACACCAGACTAATAGCAGTGAGAGAACTTCCTCCTCTATAAATCTCTGATTCAAACAAGCAGAAACAAAGAGAACAATAATAAAAACTAAAGGAAAGTTTAGCTTTACTTGCCCTTCTTATGATGCCCTGCAGTCTTGTCTTCACACTCTTATTGATTACAGTCATGGCAACTGTACGTGGCTTTGGAACAACTTGGAAAATACAATATGACATGTACAAACAACACACAATCCATGACACGCAACACTGCTCAAGATTATCAGTATGCAAGCAAACGCTGAGAATTCATGTTAGCATGTACTGCTTGTGTACGTAACTGCGTGCTAATCTCCACCATCTGAAGCCAAACTTGTTACTGTCACAAGACACTAATGGGACATACGGTATTTTGGCATATTTTTAATTCAAGTGCAAAATTCACTACACAAAATTCAGATACAGTACAATTTTAGACAGGCTTTCCTGAGAAATATAACCATTCCTCTTTTCCAGTCTACAGTATATACTGTACAGTCGTGCTTAGATGTGCACCTTGGAACTGTATCAATTATTGTGTGAAGATGGGGCCAAATTTTGAATACTGTCCAGTTTTTAAAAAAATGCTACTTAAAAAAGTTATTAAACTGTGAAAGCAAAGGTGCACCTTTGATCCAGGTGAAATTTTGCAATTAAGCAATGAAGATTGATTCAGATAAGCTTCCAAAGCACAAGTGATATAATTCTGTGGAAGACAATTACCACAGATGATACCAGTATACCTCAATTGATAAGTGTTTGTTGTGTAACATTACTGTGTTCCTTCTTTATGTAAAAGCAACTGTTAAGATAAAGGCAAAGAGAATTCTGTATATTTCACCAGTTCTTAATCCACTTTACTATTGACCTGTTACTTACCATGCTGAAAAATCTTCACCACTTCCAACACATAAGGCCTATAAAGGTAAATACTAAAGATTAAATTTGATTAAAGTAAATATGTATTCCTGTTATCATATCTGTATGTGCAGTACAGAATTACTATTAATCTAACCATCTTATATACACAGGCAAGACTAAGCAATGATCATCACAGCAGTGATTTCAAGTCACAAATCGGTCACCGTTTTAGGCATAGCTTTTTCTAATTACTGAATGTTTATTGAAGATAGACTGTGACAGGTTTCTGCTGATTACTGTTACAATTGTGAGCATGAAATTGTTATTATCATTTACATAGAGGTTTAGCCGTTATTCTTGTTGTTTTATGTTTGTTGTTTTCTGCTCCCAGTTACTGTGTGTAAAATAATTTTCTATACCCTTTCTCCACCCAAGGATGCTATACAAAGTGATAGAGAAGAAAAAGAGAATAAAAATACAATAAAAAGGAATAACATGAAACAGGAACATACAGGATAAACTGTCAGGCAATTATTTATACAGCTCAGTCCTTAATACGCAGACATAATAGTAACGTAATAATAATAATAATAATAAAGAAGAAGAGGGACTAATTTAACCTGACCACATTTATTTATTTACTTCTTTTACTGATTTACATGACGTTGCCAGACATGTAAATAAATCAGAGGAATTCCACAAAAACAAGAGAACACGTTTCAAATGCGAATCATATGAAGTGAAAGAGACAGACGATGGTGAGCAAGTCTAAGAAACCACAACCCTGCCAACCCAAACCATTTCTTGTACAGCTCTCCAGGACAATCACGAGCGGCGCTTTCCCAGGAGTCTTAAACAATATCACACACTGCTTCAGTGCGGCATGTGTGGCTCCGATGATAATGACCTCTAAATGTATGCATGACCTTGAGGAGCTCAAACTATGAGTAGATTTAACAAAATAAATGGTTTGTATAAATCAGGATTGTCCAAATTAATTAATATTGTAGGTGGCAAAAGTGTATGAAGAGGAGAAATTATGATACATTAATTAGTAAAAATTGTTTTATTTCTAAATACATACAATTAAAATGGATTTGTGTCCTTTGTTAACATATCGTCTGTTATTGTTTAGGAGAATCTTTGAGCCATGACTGTCTCTTAAAACTTCACAAAGCCTCCAAAGCTTGTGGAAACTACTGAAAGTTACTCTCATTTGTCCCTTGGAGTTTAAGAAAGCTGAAAGCAGATCACAACAGACAGCACCACATCATCCAGGGGAAAGTCGGAAAATTATTAAGGTAAAGGGTTATTGTGATGGTTGTAAAACCATCAGAAATGTGGTCTGGGAGGATACCTTACAGCCTAGGGCAACAAAGGAACAATGGAACATCATTAAAAAGCTCCACCTGATGATGTTTTCTTAATCTTTAAAAGTAACAAGAACCTGACTCCTTCTGCTAAGACTCTATGCTTAGCCATAAATTAACTTTCCTGAGGGATAGCAAACCAAACAAGTTCAAATATGCTGACAAATGGTTGCTGGAGTGTGAATAATTTTGAATGTCATCTATTCTGAAATATCAGTAAATGTTTCAGAATAAAATTGCTTCCTTTGGGATATCCAATAATGACAGTCACCCAATCCCAAAGCCTTTGCATGTTTTCCTTTATTTATGGAAAAAAAAAGGAAATTTACGTGTTTTATTTTTTCTGACACTAACTTACAGTTGCATTGCATCTGTAAAAACATGAAAACAAACTGAGCTAACTGTACTGTACTGTATGTCACCTACAGGCTTCAAGGAAGGCCTGATCATCAAAATTATTTTATTGGATTTTCAAAGCTGCTCTAGAAAGTGTGGGTCTAGACCTAAAGGTACAGTAAATACTGTACCAAGAGTTTTTTTACAAAAGTTATGTCAGTGTGCCCTGTTTTCTGAATTTAATTTGGGAGCATCAAGTGCTTAACATTAATCTACTGTATGCAACGTTTTGGTCATAGTTTGATTTCAATCTGATACACTGGACTTTTGGGGGGAGTGAGTGGTGGGAGGGTGCATAAGGAAAGTGAAATACTGTACCTACAGTACAATGCACATTCAGGAAGAACGCAACACAGAAATTAATACCAAGTCTGGTACCAGTACTTACAGTGGATGATGCACAAATCACATCTTTGACACAGAAAATATTTCGCAGTTATTGTTAACCAGAGATCTATTTAAAATATAATAAGGAAAAACGACAACTTCCCTTACGACCGGGTGTGAGTGCTGTACTTACGTGTGTTTTCTGTTTGCTGGTAAGCTGCTGTTAAGGGGAATCATTGAGCCATGGCTGTTTCTTAGCTGAAAATAAATTATTTGCATAATTGTTAAAATAATACACATGGGCAAAATATCTTAAAATGGGAAGTATCATAATGTTTTACACGATATGCATACTAATAAAAGTCTTCCAGTACATGATGTATTTTAGTATTAGAAGGAACGTAACACCAGAAAGAGGAAATTCTTCTCATCTTCCCCCTTGGTTTCTGGTAGTTTATCCACCTGTATCTCAAAATAGCCCAGAGAATACCTTCTTTTAATTAATTTAATTAACTAAATAATACCTTATTTTATTGAATATAGCACATTTTATTCAGTCAATAATTAGGACTCAATGAAAAAATATTAAACTGGTTTGGCCAATACTTTTCAGTTCCTTAATTAGAATCCCCCTTGGAGCAAATACTTCTTTCAAACAATGCAGTGACTGAAAAGGAGTATAGGCAGAAATGGAGTAATTTTAAATGAAATAAAATAAACAGAGATTACCTTTACAGTCATAGTATCACTGTTCAATCCAAAAGAGCAAAAAATAATCTGGAACAAAAAAATATTGTACAGAAAGGTTGAGTACCAAAAATAATTCCACAATAAATCTGGCTAATTTAAATTAATGAAATAATGGCTAATGTGGTTTTAATTAAGCTCACCACTTAAAAAAAATAATCTAAAATGTAGGCTTTGGTTTAATTTCAATGGACTTACTCTAAATTGTAAAAGTCAGCAAACCAATTCTCACAACAACCTTTATACATGACTAATACCGATAAAAGGGGGTTTTATCATACAGCTCCCAAATCCTAAAATGATCAAGTCGGTTAGTGAGAGATTCTTTGAAATTAGGCTCCAAACATACTTCTAAAGATGGGATATTGACTCCAAGAAAATTCCAGGCATGTTGAAACACCCAGATGAGAATGTAGCTCCAAGAAAGATATATTCAATGAAAATATCCATCCATCCATTTTCTGACCTCTTTATCCAGGACATGGTCGACTGAGCCTAGCCCAACAAGCAACAGGAGCAAGGAGGGGTACACCCTGGACAGCATACCAGTCCATCACAGGGCACACAGACACACACACTCATTCCAGGTATGGCTTTTTGCCAGAAGACTACCAGTATGTCTTTGGACTGCGGGAGGAAACCCACATGAAAATACCAAAACATTTGGTATCCGTACCTCTGGGTTGTTTTCAATGTGTCTTCCTCTATCTTTGCCTTTGATTTTTTTACTATTGCAAAACCCAGATCTCTGCTAGTAAGCTACAGTGCCAATGTTGCTCATCTTTGGCATGGACTTATAATGACCAAAGCCCAGTTTCCCTTTTAATATCGAATACAGTCATCACCCTCACGGAAGTACCCTGTCACTGACATAGTGAGCTCTTGGACCAAAATAGTCTGAAGTGATCCAGTGAAGTCGTCCCCGGGCTCACCCCTCCTCGTGGAGTTGGGATATTATGAGATAAATCAACACACCATACAAACATATTGCTTCACAATCGGTATCAGTAATCAGTCTAAAAAGAAGGTCACGGTTAAAAACAGCACAGATCATCAGCAATCAGTGTAGCAGAAAGATCTTAAAGATAGATACTTCTATCTTGGATTCTTTTCATGTGATATTTAGCACTTACAACTCAAGAGTTTGCATGTGGGTACACACTCTCACATATGTTTGGGACACTTCAGAGATACCAGTTAACCTAGAGAACAGCTCTCCGGACTGGGAGGTGAACAGAGTGCCCATCAAGAACCCATGGAGCCACTTTTTCACACAGAAGGCCAGAATTAAACTCAGGAACCAAGAGCTGTGAGGCAGCAGTGACAATAAACCATTCAAAAAAGGCTCATTTATTATTGAATTATGCAATTATCAATAAAGTCTACTAAAATAAACAGAGACAACTAAATGTTGAAAAACATTCTTAAACTTTGTGATGCAAAACATTTTCTTCTCACAGCATACTTTAATTCTGAAGCCCTGTCATTTCCTGTATTCATAGCCGTGCATTACTGCTACAGCCCCCAGGACACACGCAGATGATATTCATGGGCTTCAGAAAGCCTTGCCTGTCTGACCGCAGCTGACTCGGCTCCTGTCGGAATGAGAACTTCTCTCAGTGCTGTGATTCTGTCATCTGCAAGGGATTTAAAGGCAATAAAGGATGTTAAAAAAAAACTTATTTTAAACAATGTTATTAGGTTAGGATAGAAAAGGAAATTTCAATGATGGCATAAGTAATTTGTTGTGTTTTCCTAATTCATTTATTTCAAATTAAGAAATGAATACACCAAAATTACTTAGAAAATAAACTTCAAAGGCTATACACAAAGAAACAGGTTCCCTCACATGCAAGACGATTGTGAAGAAATTGTCTATTGCCAAGTTAGCACAAATAGTAAATAATTACTGTATGTACTGTATCACACTCAAAATTGGACAAGTACAGGCGTGATTCATATGATACAGTCATAGATAAGACCATTGAGCATTCAAGTTATTTAATGCAACAATGATTGTATTTACAATACCATTTGTTGTTAGGCGTAAATGTAATGCCTACTACCCTTAATTATACAATAATACAATAACACCTACACGCAATTCTTTTAATAGTACAGTAACTGTCCCATAAATTATTACATGCACCATACTTTCAAGAAGAACCTGTTCAATAACCCCTCCTCTACGCAAGTGTGTTTGAACCCTGGTTGTCGCTTATAGCCTGCTTGTTGCCTAGCTACAGTTCAACCACCTACCTGACGGACCCACCTGTTCAGTTAGCCGCTGTGTGGTCTGTGTGATCGCCACACGCTAATTCTTCAGAATTTGTACACTCATTATTTAAGATGTTTTTTTAACGGTAGGAGAAAACTCTGCATATGTTATACCGTTGACTACCAACAGCAGGTAGCTGCAAATGAGCTCCTTTCTTCGTCGTCTATTCAACCTTTTTTGCAGCCAGGAAGCTCCAACAGATCTGAATTATGAAGATATTTTTAAAATACAGAGGATGCCTCGCATCTCTGATGACCAGTAATTTATGACAAACCACCCCCTTATTTACAGTTCAGATGTCCTCCCAGGCTAAACCCCAGTAAGCAAAACAAACAAAACACAATACCATTATAGTCAAGTCTTTTCAGTGCAATCCAGATTTTCGAAACACCTCGTTTTTCATCCATAGCACTGATCATTTCATTGATCATTCTCTTTTTGCGCAATTTCTTCTCTGGTGCGGCTTTCGCTGAGCCCAGGGAGACACTGAGACGCAATCTGTTTCCACTGGTGAGATTGGTTTCACGGAAAAGCGGCCTCAAAGCACTACATTACCCAGAAACCTATGGAGTGTATCAGCGCCTGCTGATTTTGTGGACGATTGACCGTAAATTCACAGGCAATAATTAGCCTTTATCTTGGGTTATTTTATAATCGTAAACGCGTCTAATGCTAAAGGCAGTCTGCGAAATCGGTTATTAAAGTACAGTAGAGCAGGAAGCTGATATTTTTGTATTCAATTCCGGACCTTCTGCACACAAAATAATTACGTAAAAAAGTACCTAATATTTTTTTATTAAAAGAAAAAATATTATTTAAAATGACGGTTCAACAAACCCTTATGTTATATAAATGGATGGCCATCTAAACAATCAAAATTGTTTTTACAACTAAAACAAGTAAACGTATTTCTAATAAGTAAAATACGTATACAAGAGAAATTGTAACGTATTAATATTATCATCAAATGACACTGTAAAAGCATGCAGATTTTCTCCATCTCAGATAATCCCAGATTAATAATATCTCTTTGAGAGGAGCCGCAGATATTTTATGGCAAGACTAGAGTTACCAGAAAAAGGGTAAGTAAGAATAGTTTGAATGGGGCTCTCCATGACCAGGTATATCCCCATTAAAAGCCATTAAGGACAGCTAGCAGTGGCGCAACAATAATGAAGCGGTCTTCCGGATCACAATCTGCTTCAGAAGCACGGCTGTAAAATGAACGGCCACATGATGGCGATCTAGGGTAACATTTCTGGCTTGCTTCAAAAACCGCAGGCAATAATAATTCAGCCTACGTTCAAAAATAAATTAAAGGCAAAATAGATTATTTTTAAAGATATGTACTGTGAACTTAAATTCTTTAGAAAAAACATTTGAGAGCATGAGGCTTTAAATGAGAGGAAGCTATTCAGACTGACAAGAACCTCGTCTGTTTCTGTTAAGTGTTTCAGAAACTCCCACCTAACCTCTATGAAAAGTAGCATTTTCTGTCCTAAATGCTAATTAATGCATTTGATATACAAATTAACCAGGGGTGAAGAAAAAAGCGAACGTTTTCTATTCAGAAATCCTGCTTTCTGCAAGAGCATTAGAACTATGTGAGTAGTAAACTAATATGTGATCTGTGATGAGCTGAGTAAAGTGCTGTAGGTCTTTAGGAAAGGATGTACCCTGTACAGTAGGTGCTGTCTGAAAGGGGGAGACAGGGACATAGCTCACAGAGGGAAGGGCCTTCGATTATACCGATGTGCATGGCAGAGGAGGGAGAGAGGAGGCTATAGACTCAAGGGAAAAGAGGGCAGAGCAATCAGAGGGACAGAAAGAAGAGGAGGAGAGGAAGTCTGAGGAGATGCCTGCCTCTAGGATGAGATGGCTGAGTGGCACATACTGTACAGTAGATATCCCTGAAGAAATCCAGAAGAGAAGTTACAGAAGGGAAAGGAGGGTCTGTCTGTGCATCACCACTGTGTTGGAATAATAGATTCCCAAGCAATGCCTCTCACTGGTGGACTACAAGAACTAAATCTCTTCAAGGCAGAGAGGACTACACAGCACACTCAGGAGCTACCTTTAATATCATTTACGTATTTAGGTTTTTATGTTGACTCATAAAACATACCATACAGAGTTGACAATCGGTTCAGCACATGGTGCATGTCTGAGTTTTGATCTGCTTCGTTCTAAAACTGCTGTTAGTTAAGAGTTTCTGTAGTACGTTCTTGGTTGGCTTAGTCCTCTTTTGTATTTGTTTATATGGATGAAAAGGTTTGGGATTTAACGTATACAGTATACGCTATTTTGTTACTGGTTCCCATTTCTTCCTGTGATCTTTCTTTCCCCAACATGTGACAGCTGTCAGAGATCCCTGTATCTCTCTTGTCTTCCCCCACTGCGCTGCTTCTGAAGCCATAGGCTGGAGATGCTGAGGAGACCTGCTGTCCACCCATCTGTAGCTGTCGGTAGAGTTGCTACATGTACATACTGTAGCTGCTCAGGATGTATTTTGTACAACATTTCTTCCTTTTTGATTAGTAAAACATTTTGGATCTCTGTTTACCTTCAAAAAGATCAAAGATTTGTCTAGTAGTGGTAAAAGTGCTAGACATTAATTAGTCATTTCAATACATCAAACAAGACATCAGCTGTTGTCCTTAATTCCTTGTATTTTCATGATCTGGTTAAAGTACATATTATGCTGTTACTAAAATTAGTAATATTACTGTATATTGCATATTTTCTTTTTTTATTCTTTATTGTTAATGTGCTACAGTATATGGTTCTTTATCTTTCAAGCTAGCAAAAGCAAATTAGCAAGTAACATATTAATGGATTGTTTTTTATATAACTTTTATATAGCACCATGGAAAGCTCAAAATTATTGCAATCATAACGCTTGTAACCTTATGCCTGTAAGTTCTGTGTAAACCAGTAGTTATCTCAAAGCACCGATGACCTTGCATGTGTCTGTGTTTAAAACGTTTTAAAATCTTTTGTTAACAATATGTCCTTGTGATTCTGACATCATGCTTAGACCACAGGCAGCTACAAATTACGTTTTTTTAACAGAAAGGCAAGAAAGGAAAGTCACCCAGCTGCTGGAAGAGGGGCTGTGGGGAAATGAGTATTGTCATTTCTCTTATCTGGCTGTGAAGAGAGCCCTGCCAGGGGAAACGGGCAGGGAAAAAGAAAGGAGAGGAGTACTTTTTCTTCCTCTCATGGTACTGTGCCTTCATTTCAGCTGACATCAAGTCCTGGTGATCGCTTCACCTCTGTAGCCTGGAATCTTTTCCCAATCTCTCACCCCTCTGTCTTCAGAGTACACCCCCAATTGCTAGCAGCACTCAACTTCTACCTCAGCTGAACCCGAAAGTGTATTTATTATTTAACTTCAGTGCTGGAAGAAGTCAATCAATGTTCAAAGTCTTTGCCTTTGGGGGAAAAATGAGCAGGAAACAGTGAAACAGGAAACAGGATCGCAAATGGAAATTGAAAGGGATTTTCATTACAGAGTGCTTCTTCACACAGAGTACAGGATGTTGGGAAAAGGCTTTCTAGCAATGTGGTTGGTAACCAAACTCTGGGCTCTTAAGAAATGACTGGATGAAATATTACGTTCAAATAGCTGCAAAACTACCAAATGAGTAAGACTGACTGAATGGATTCCTCTTATTTTCAACCTTTTATATGTTCATAACTAACGATTTCTAACATGAGAACGTGTCTAAATTACATACGTTTTTAATTTAGTTGTCACATTTTCCCTGATGCATCTTTCTAGCCCTGTGGAGATCTATAATGGCTTTATGGAAATAGCCATTAACTCCATTTGTCTTGAATTTGCTAATCTTTATTAGATTCTTAGGGTGAATACGTTTTTGGGATATTCTTTCCAAGAGTAATTTAACAGACATTTTATTACTTTTGTTACATTTGTGCATTATGTTGAAGATGGAAAATGTAAATTGTCATGTTTCCAAGTGTATGCTTAATTATACCGACTCTTGTACTGCTCTTTTCCTGACAAGGAGTATTTCTAGAACATGAGCCCAGACAGGATACACCTGCCTCTTAAGGTAATTAGTGTTGAACATAGCTGCTCTTGGATGAAAATCAAGAAGGCCTTTCACATCCCAATTGTAATTCAGATTATATTTGTGCTTATTAGCAATAATATATTACATGGATTAATTTAACTTGACATCAAAGGTAACCATCTTTCCCACTTTGACTTCAAAATCTGGTGTTTTATCTAGAGGAGGTACACTGTACAAAGGCCTCATTCTAAGAGGCACTGTTAAGTCCTTTGTGATTTAAAAACAGCAAACACAACACAGCTAAGTGAGGGTGGATTCA